CTGCTGGTAATTCCCACCTCCCCAGCATGCTTCCCAACCACCAACACATGGATTTTTTACTTTTTTTTTACCCTCTTTGACCTCTTTTTCAGCTCTGGGATAGGTGGTTTTTACTGATCATCATCTTAACAACCTGGACAGCACCACTCATGCAGCTGAAATTAAATAGGTTTAACAACTGTAGAATAAGAACAGAAGTTATTTAAGGATACTGTTTGTGCTTTAGTGCCTTACACCACATATCTTGCCAGTCTCCTCTACCTGTTAAAAATAAATGCTGAAATACACTTTTTTAATATGACCCAGAAGAAGGATCTCTTACTTCATGACCTGCATCTGCTGCCCTGGAAAAAGCTGCTACGTAATCTTGGGGGTCCAATACAATTCATTTTCAAGAAGAAAGGTGGGAAGATTGTCTTTAAATTGAGGACTGAATCAAGAGTGAATTTTTCCAGACTGTCACCACCGATAAAATGAGGTTTTCAATTACAATGCTTAGCACACAACAGTCTGCCCAGGGAAACCTATGTTCCAATGCTGCCAAGCGATATATGCTCAGCACAACATTTGTCAAACCATTTCCTCTGCTAAGAGTTAATGTGTCAGTCTTTAAAATGGCTTGCTCTTCTACCACCTTTCCTGATGGAATTGTGAAAAGTGCAACCTACTTCCTTTCACAAAATACCTTGTTGAGACTTTTTGACTACAAATTGACTGCCTCATGGGGAAAAACTGCTATCTAGAAACCTAAAAACCAGTGACTGTTCTATCATAATTCTGCCTCACTGGAATAAGGAGGTCAAGCAAGGAGATAACAATCATTAAATAAAGTGTTAAAAGGTGATTGCAGTGTTAACAGCAGCTTAAACAGGCTAGAAATCCGGATGCTATTCTAAGGACTTAGGACCCGGCAAATTATTTTGTTTTATTTGAGATTACACTATCAGCTGATGATGACTGCAAGACTCTGCTGTGATAAAAGCAAAATCACTACACTTTTTGTTACAAGAACCACCAGGCAAAGGGCAAGTCTTACATGCAGACAGATCAAGAACACGTGATTGATGCCAGAAATGTATCCAAAGAGCAGCTTTCTGGATTAACTGTACTGTAAATGCCAGTAACCAAACTCACTCATTGGTACCAACTGCACCTCTAAGCTTCACCTCATCTTAATAAAATCTCTAATTACCTTACACTGATCCTGAGGAGCATCACAGAATTTCCTTTCTTCATAGGAGCTTATTCACTATTTTCTTTCAAACATACATATCTGTTTGCACTTGTCTAAGTACACTGTAAGCACTAAAACATACAATACATCATCTCTTCATCAGTACCTTAGAAGAGATCTTTTAAGAATATGTTTACAACATAAAGGTCACTTGAAAGTTGACTAAAGGCATGAATAAAAAATAAAACATTTAGTCGAGCCCTTTGAGAAGATGATGTTGTCATTACCCTTTACTGTTTGAGTAAGTTCTTCAACTGCTTTTCAACACCATCGTGACACCACACGGGGAGTTTAATGGCAGCTCCTGAGTATATATAGAATCAAAGCCAATACTCAGCTTACTAACTTAACTTTCAGAAAGTTAGCACAGCAGTCAGAGATTAAGAATCATTATATACTTGGCAAACTGACCCATTTCTAAATGATGCAGTCACAGGATGATATGTGCAGTGGGCGTATTTTAGCCAACAAAAGCTAGCAAAGTGCCAAGAGCTGCTGAATTCCCTGTTAAGAACTAAGAGCCCCTCCACACATTTTCTGCCACAATATATGGCCCATCTTTTTGTCAGCACAAGTCTTCCTTGAAAAATGAGGGTTGAAAAAAATCACATGGCATCATTTCTCATGAAAGGTAAGGAAATTAAAGGAAATGAAAGAAGCTACAAATTAAGAAGAGCTGATCTGAGGCTCCTATTGGCTAACATGCTTCTAAGTAAAGTGCAATTCCAGTTTTATTCTTGGTGCATGAGTAAAAGAGGAGTGTAAAAATGTAGAAGTATGTGAGACAAATGACATTTTATCTTTAGATATAATCATCCCTTATGGATGTCATCCCTACTTGTCAATTAATCACTAGAGCATGAATATCCCAAGACAAAGCTAAAAATGGGGTCTAATTTTTCACTATATATGACTGAAACAGCCAGTACGTTTCACAGAGGAAAGAAGAGGTTTGTGATCTGTTTGGTAGCTGCTTCACAAGGGCAACCTCATAGAATCCAAATGGAAATCTCTGACATTGACTGCTGCATATAGTTACAGCTTGTGCCAGCCATCAGTAGAACTATGAAGGTTTAGTAACATGACTGCAAGTGAGCACATTGCCAAGACTTACTGAGTTACCACTTTCTGGCTAAGATAACAGCAACTGAGTAAATATGATGTTCTAGTCATTGCAAACACAAAATAAAATGTATTAGCATAAACCACTTTGTGAAATGTAACTTGCTAAGCCCCTGAAACTTGGCATGTGTGATTGTATGAGCATACCGTCTCTTAGCTAGTATAGACAATGCTAGACATGTAAACAAAGTAAAATCAGTAATTCCAGCAAATGCAGTGGGCACAAGGAAACAATTACTATCTTTGGAGCTCAAAATCCATCTACTGTATAGATGCACAGCTCCTGGTTCATGAAAGTCCGTATCTTGCAGTACCTGAAAGTAAACTTGCTGACCTGATTGTCAGCTGCTACCATATGCAAGCTGTTCTCTCAGTGTTGCAAGTGAAATTATCTAAACAGCAATCTATCCAATCATCTATTTAACTGTACTGCTTTGTCTCAGAGTAGAAGTTAAGCTCTGTGGGTCTACCAAATGTTGTAAATTAATTTTTAAATTTTTCTTTCGTGTGAATAGATCAAAAAAACTCTCAAGAGATCAATTTTACTTAGTTAGATATCTACAGATGAAATTATTACATTCACATCTCAACCTTGTCATTTGCCAATGAGAAAAAAGACACACTACTTGGATGTAGGCTCTGAAAGCAAAAGAAAGTTGAAGAAGGTCTATAGCTGTTAGCAGGGAAATGAAAAAAAAAAAATAAATCAAGGTTTCATCACAAAAAAAGGAATTTTCATTTCTTCTGTATTCACAGTTTTTGTGCACAATAATGCTACTAGACCTGTTACTTAAGATTATGCCATTGCTTATGAGTTTTAACACCTAAAATCAAATGCAAACAGGAAAATGCATATAGCAGGTGGCATCCAAGTAATTCTCAGATCACATTTTTAAAGAAAACTGGAAATAAAAAGGACGATCTTTTTTTCAGCAGGAAATCCACACTCTTTATAGCATGTAAAACAAGTACAGTCAAGAATCAAAAAGAAGTTGCTACTGGGATCCTAACAAAATTATACTAATATTTTAAATTTATTGTTTAAATATAAAATATTTATATCCTGAAAGTTAGGGAAAAAAAACCCAAAACCTCGAAACAAAAAAACCCAATCATCTCTTTATTAACATCTGCATGCATTTGGTTTTCATCACTGATCTTTGAAAAGAATGTCGTTTTAACTAAATGAGCTTGTAAGATTGAAGTAGAGGCCATGAATGAGCTATGGAAAGATTCTTCAGTTTTGTTTTCTCCCCTATTAATGTCTACAATCTGATTTTGATTACACTGTTAACTACAAAGGCTTCAAATATTTACTGTGGACAAAATAAAAATCAGCCCATTAGCCAACAAAACACTGTTACACCTCAGCAAAGAACAAGACAGCAAACATAATACGGCTAATTTAAACCGAAGAACAACAGTGGAGCAAGTGATGGATTACAGAATTTTAATGTCAGTTTTGATTGCACAAGGAAAGTTGCCAGAGCAGTTTAATATATTCATAGTTATAAATTTTTCCCCCTATTACAGATATATAACAACGGCCCCTACCCAAACAAACAGAGTGTGAGCCAAATTCACAAAACTGCACTTCAGACCTTGACACTTGGCTGTCCTCATGATGGCTGCCCAGAGTGGTGAGAAGTGCATGAAGGTTCCTAAACTACATTGCTCAGCAAACAAACGAAATTGATGACAAAAAAAAAATAAAATTACAAACCATCAAGAGACCTAGACACAGCTACAGAATGAACTGTGGAAAAGGGATGGTCTAAGGAGATAGCTGCTTTCCTACGCCATATCTGTAGTACTTAGTACTATTGGAAGAAGGGTGTTGCAACCTACTTAAATCTATGAATAAATCTATCTTGAGAACACGTATTACAGCATAAATATCAGGACACTTCTGAGACACACAATTCTTGTAACCAGCCTCCCATCTGTGATCCTTTCCACTCAAATTCTGTAAAGGAAGAACAGTCTACAAAAGCCATTGCTGGATCATTTAATTTCATGCACTGCTTCCAGGAAGACAGCATCAAGGTTATTGCCAGATATTTACTAAAAAGAAATATTTCAGTTCAGTGAATGATTAAAGACATAATTTCCTAAATAAATGCTTAGCATTTGTACTTAGAATTTTGAATTAAAATAAAAGTCCCAGTGTGAGAGGTATTTTTTTCCAGTTACATTGCTGAGGAAAACACTAGTGCCTATTTCGAATTACTGGGGTTGTAGACTTTTGTAAACCCACCCAGATTGAACTAGGTTTGAATTCTGGACACATCCGTAACAACCTGCATCCAGAAACATTTACAAATATCTATTTCAACTTAAAACTAGTACTTGTCAAAGGCTTGTCATGGTTGCTCTATTACATCTCTTATGTTGCTTAACGGCTCTTGGAAATGAACAACAAATGGAGGACAATATCAAATAGTCTCCGTGCTTTCCAAACATGTCTAAATCATGTTTATTTACCTTCTTGTCAGCAAAATTCCTTAATATAAATGTACAGGTTTGCATATTTAGCCTGAATACCAAGCTATTGCACGAATTATGAAAGAAAGGTATCACTTTGCCAAACACACTACAGGAAAAAACCCAACAACACGGCCACAGTACATAAGCGAATACTTACTATTTATATGTTTCTGAACGTATGTATTCAAAAACATGAGATACGCCCAGCTGGAACTGGTCAGCAATAGGGGTAACCCAAGGATTGTTCTCTGCTTTGAAGACTTGCTTTTGACCAGTCAAATCCAAATTACCTGAAAGGGATTAAACAAAACAGCAAATGAAGAAAGTGTGAAATATGGAAAATTTAAAAGAAATATCCTATTGTGAATAGAAAACTTTTCATTTGTTTCAGAGTACAACCATAATAAAAGCAAATATTTAATAAAAGCAAATATTTCAGTCTTTGTGGAGAGGAAGAGGACGACATAATAGTTCCCACCATGACGGATGCAATTCTGCCCTATCAATTTCAGTGCTACCACACATTGCTCAACAGGACTGAACTCAGCCCACTACATAGAGTATTTATCCATTAAATTAGTTTTAAGAAGGGCTTAACAGCGCATAGGTGTTGGGCCCTCCCCACCACTTGCAGGAGTGAAAGGAGAATGACAATGGGATAGGAGTTTGTTCTGCTGAAGCTTAGCATCCAAAGCATTTGTCGATCACTGTTCCAAGCACCCTGTCAACAAACAACGCCCAATATGCTTTTTGCCTTCCCAGTAGCCACCATGTTGTTTGCACTGAGATCCCATCACTCATCTGTGGTTATAGTTCTCTATATTGTGAAAAACAAACAAAAAGTGTCATTCTTGCAACATGCCAGTTTTAAATCGTCCTGCCAGCTAAACAGGTAAGAGACCTATAGATGTTTTCTTGGGGATTTTTTTGTTGTTCGTTTTGTAAGTGTTTACCACCCATAAACAATACTGCACATGCTCTTCTGAAACTCCTCATGACTATGGATACGACAGGATGAATTCCAGGACCATCCAGACATTGACATATTTTCTTGTGCTCTTTAAATCAAAATAAGAAATCTGTGCTACATTTTACATTTATTTTTATGAATTTTATGATGAAGAGAGACCTACCTCCCCACCCCAGCATTCTAAAGAAACAACAACAAAAAAAGCAATGTTTAGCTATGGGAAACAAAAGACAAAATTGCAAGGTTTTGAAGACTGAGTCAGAGGAATCTGAAATCAACCTGCTCTGATAGCTTTTCAAAACTAAAGGCACTTGTGTAAGCTGCATGAACACGCATGCTATGGGAGCTACTGAAAGCCGTGTACTTGCTGGCCATTTCAGTTGCATGTTCCACATTACAGCTAATTCTTGACATGCTGCTCTCCATAAAAAGGGTTAACACAATTAGTGTACAGACAGACCATTATACCGTGTGAGAAGATGTCATGCATCTCATATCGGCCTATCAACAAGTTACCATTACCTCAGCACACTCGTCTGTCAGCTGTCTGGGGCCTGTTCTTTTGAAATAACAACAGGCAGGGAGCACTTCACCCCTCTGTCAGTCAGACAGCAATTGCCCTCGCTGCCTCACGCTTCAGTGCGCCTCGTTAGGAGCCTTGCACCCATCTCCTTTATTAAGGGACTTGGCAGCCCTGTTCTAACAAGGATCAGGAAGGAGGATTAAGTACTATGACAAAGAGGACCTAATAAGCTAGAAACTGGTGTGTCTAAATCTATGCTGGCTCAAGGCGTAGGCTCACACTGCTCGCTATTCAGTTTTCAGGCACAGGCCACCAGGGAAGCAAGCCAGCACTGTGATTAGCCATAACCCCCTGACCAGTGCTGCTATGAAGACCATGTATCACTCAGTGGCTTGCTTTGCAATTGCAAATTGGATTTTCCATTTTATTACCTGCAAAAGCCCCACATACATTGCTTTCCACTACTGACGCTGCAAGCACTCACTTGTAATTACAGCTCTGCAAGTACTACGTCAAGGTAAACTGATCAATCTGTGTACAACTAACAACAACAGTTAAATCTGCGGAGGCAAGTGTGGCCGCATCATGAGTCAAATTTAATATTGTTTACAGGAATAAAGTCACAATTCCCAAATCTCAATAGTCAGGGTCTCAGATGAATCCCCTCGTCCTGAGCTGTGTCCAAAATGTACCACCCAGGGAACACTGCTGTGTTTCCATCGCCACGGCATGGTGTGTCCACTTCCATTCCACATGGCCCATTAAAACATCATTAATTGTAATAAATACTACTCTATTACAGCCAAAGAAATCTTACAGCAAAAAGAACTGTAGGTGCCCATGCTAGTAATCACTTCATTTCCCTCCATCTTCTGGTTTCCCCCAAAGGACACTGCAGACAGGTACAGATATTACTTTTTACCTTCAGAGAGAAGAGGCAGGCAGAGACCCTTAGAGTAAAATTAACCTGATTACAGAGGGAATTGGGGCTGGCTGTAGGACATTCAGAAGTCCCAAGTCCCGGTAACATTTCAGAAACAGTATGTGCTGGGGTACCAAACACATGAGAGCCCTGCATGAGCGCTTCTATCCCAGTGCACCAAGACAAACCCAGCAGCATGGAAGAGATACTCAAACATGCCTGAAGCAATGGCTGGTACTAGGCTCACCGCAGGAGTGCTATACATCTGGACACCTTACAGATGTGTCCCTCCCCACCTCCAGCTGCCTCCTGGCCTAAGATGTTTTTTATGGCAGCACTGCGCTAAGACATTCTGTTATTCCACCCCTGCAGCACTGGAGCCACAGGCCAGGGAAAAAGCCATGGCAGATGCGCCTTCATGCATATTGTCTAACAGCAACATCAGCAGAACACTATCCTCAGGGCTTTAGGAAATTTATATACTGTTCTGCTACACAGATCACATCAAATCCCTTGGATATTTTTAGTAAGCAAAATATAAAATTGCCTCTAGTAAAAATCCAGTACCGAAGATTCAATCACAAAATATATTAGGGTTGGAGATTGCACTGGTCATTGCTGGTTCATTCTTTCCATACACATCAGCCTATTAAAAAAATGTTTATAATCTCTAAAATTTGGCATAACTAGTGGACTAAAATTGTATTTCTTCATAACAGATTTAAGGATCCTGCTATTTTGCCAAACTGAAAGGGATTACCTCTTATGCATTAACAATCAGAAGCCTCTGGTAAGAGGGGAAGAGAAGGCTGTATTTAAGACTAATCAGCACAGCCCCTTTCCTAGATCACAGAAATGTTTTTCAAATTATTTTTGGGTGTTTCTAAAATTATTCTCATAAATAAACAAATAAATAGTAATAACTACACATCCCAGAACCCACGTCTAACATGCTTAAATAACCACCTAATTTCTAAGCTTGAAGAGTATGTTTTTTAAGCTTTCTATCTTGAACAGATTTTCAAGGAGGAAGAACGCAAAATGGACATATGCTGCAACCAGTGAGCAGACACGGAAAAGAGAACAGAGTCTGGAAAAGAGCAGAGATAAAGGTGTAACAGCAGATTCCTGTGGACAGCTTGCATAGAATGACCAAAAGCCTAAAAGGAGCCAGCTGTGTGGTCCTAGAAACACCTGATCTTGGCATTTTTGTTCCTGTCTCAGCAGCCATTGTCTCTAAAGATGATCCTGTACCATTAAGTTTGACAGATCAGTGTGACTGACCTTCTGTGTTTAACCCATCTTAAAAACAAATTGTTCCTGCTTAAATTCAGAGCTTCAACAGCCATGGGTGGACAGAAGGGACACCTGGTGTGACAGTGCACACATCCTGCATGATGTTAAAGGGAAAAGGCAGCTAGAGATTCCCTGCACCTCTGTCAGTAAAACTTCCCTGCATTTGAGCTAAGCATGATAGTTTACGTTTCTTGTTATTTTCTTTCAGTGCTGTTGAAATAAAAAGTGGTTTGTGTGAACATTCATATTTTGCTCAACTGCCTGTAAAGGTCAAAAAAGAGCTCATAAAAGTGAATAAAATGCTGCCTTCCGCAGTTGTGCTTGCACAGTGTCAGAGCCAGTGATAACACTACCTATCACTTTGACCATGGGTGTCTCTCCAGAATTCCCAGGCTTCTGTCCATTTGATACTTCCCTCTTACCAGAGGTAAAGTACCTCTTACACACAGCTAGCTATAAGCCCTTCATCCTCTTGTGATGCACGATATATGGAGCATGTAATATTTACCCAGTGTATGTATACTTAAGGTATAGTAAGGTATGAATAGTGTACATAAGCATTACTTCAATACAAACAAAAGAAACCAGAACGAACACAAACCTGACTTGCCCTTTCCACTTGAATGCCCTTTGGCAACACTTTAAATACTTTCAAAAATTAGAAGGTGAAATAAAGTAATTAAACAACTCTGACATTTGAGAACTGAACATTGGCATTCAGCATAAGAAACATGATCCTAGCGGTAAAATGCCAGATCAACTATTCTTTGTAATGGTTTAAATTCATCCCTACTGCAGCTTCATTAAAATCAATGGAAATAAATTTTAGCCTGTATATGGTTGAGTTTCACATCTGTGTCTCGCTGGTAGTCTGACTTCCAGCCTATACTCCACTGCACTGACCTGAAGGAGAGTCCTCCAGTTGTAACACATCCCTTTTAGCAATTCTTCTTAAGACTGCAATTTAAATGTTCTTTCCCTTTACAACACAAAGTTCTTACTCTCTGTCATACATAAGGACAGGAGGAATGAAATTTGTTCTATTTCCTTATTTAGACATAAATACCTTTGAATCCTGTTTTATTAAATGCTAAGGAAGGGTCCAATCCACTACACTAAATTTAAACTTACGTTATATGTAAAACTACATCTGTCCTGGCTTGTTTTAGATTTGCTTTACACTACAGGGCTTATAATTTTTATTACTTCTGTGTAATGTGCTTTGTCTCGATAGAGAGACTGGTTTAAGCATGGCGGTAGAAGAAATATCATGACTATTATGTCATAAAAATGATGCCAAAGCAAGTAATTTTGAACGATGTCTTAAAATCAATGATAAAAATGGAAATATATACTATACCACAAAGCATTACCAAAATCAAATTATTTTTACACCGATCTTAAGCACCTGTAAGCTGTGTATTAGTAACTTGTATCACTCCTGTAAACAAGATCATCTTGCTTTGAAGACCTCTATTACTTTCGAAGTATTAGTAACAGAAGAGTAGATTTAAACAGTAATTATAAAGAAGCAGTAAGAAAACAGAGTGCAAAGACTGCTTGTACATAAGTGAAGTGT